CTCGAGGACCTTTCAGACCTGAGTTTTCCTTCTCTTCCTGCCTTTGTTGGTGTAGGGGTCTTTCCTAGTACTTAATTTGCAGAAGAGAGTTGAGGGAAATCTCAAGGTGAGCTTCGTGAATATGAAAGCCTAGAGTCACGCAGAAAAGGAGGCCTGTTGAGTAATTTGGGAATAATTCAGATAAAGAGCTGTTGCTTCTCTCATGGTTATAGTCATTCTAAGCCAAACTCCCTTAATAGCTGGTACAGTCTATGCCAACCAAAACTGTCAAATGTCAGAAATCGCCAAGTCCTGTACGTGTGTAACTGCAGTGTGGCTGTCGATTTCTGCATTTCACTGGAGTGCCCTTTGTAAACCTGTGGCTATTGTCATCTCTAACCCTAAGATCTGAACTTGATCTCTGTCTTCAACTCTGAAGTCTACTAAGTTGGCCTGAAGGAATCCCAGTCTCCCAAACACTACTAATGGGGAGGAAAGACTGCAGAGCTTGTCTGGAGCCTACCAGCATCGTTGTTTTGGTTTTTAAGTCACCCATCCCTGCATCCCTGAGGAAGGCAAATAAAATGCCCTCTGGGATGCCTCGCCATTTTCCAATGTGACTTCATCAGATTTTAATGAACTTATTTTCAATGTGGTGCAAGTTCATAGAAAAGTCAAGTTTTAAAATGATGTAGATAATGCAAGACTTGACCTTTACTACACTCGTGTTATATAATAATATATTTTACTCTGCATTGATTTACACCTGGGGTATATCTAAATCAAGATTATTATTTATAGCTCTAAATTGAACATGGAAATGTTTGTGATGATCCTTCTTAGATTTAAATTTGATGACAACCATAAATCTATGTTTGCTCACTGATTTGTTCATGCAGTAACTGCTTCTGCAAGCCTACCCTGTACCACCTGTCATTCTAAGCATCAGAGGTATAATAATGAACAAAGCCCCTGCCTTTGTCAGTCTTTTGAAGAGACAGTGAATAAATAATGCATCAGACAGAAGGGATGCTATGCAGGCAAACCTTCTGAGGTAAACGAGAGTGAGAGAACAGGATTCGGTAGGAGCCTTGATAAAGTCGTGGGTGTGATGAAGGAAGTATTAGCTCTGGTTTGGCTTCCTGTTTTACTAGGTCCAGTGAAACTGGGGGGGCGGTGACCTCTTATTCCAACTTTCTATAACGGATGTGTGACACCAAATCTACCACTACAAAGGATTACAAAGTCTGTAGATAGACTGATATTTCTGGGAAGGTTAAATGTGTTCTTTCAAATAGCCCAGTCTAACGCTGCATGCTCGTATTTCCTTGTTAGCTGAAATTTTGTCTCCTTCAGCTTTCTTCAACCTTATATTTCTAAAACATGGCACTTAATGTAAACAAAATACTTGTTTATCTTGTGGAAGTCCATGGTAATGTACTGACTCCAAACTCCAACGTGAACCCTGCCTGGACGTTTCTCTGGGAGCTAAGTAAAGGGACATTATTTTTTAGGATTTACTTTTGAGCCAGGGATGATGATGCTTTAATCCCAGACCTCAAGAGGCAGAGGCAGGCAGATCTCAGATGGAAGGCAGCCAGTCTACATAGCAAGTTTCAAGCCAGCCAAGACTACAGGGAGACCCTGTCTCAAACATACAAAAAAAATTTCTTTTTTAAATTTTATGTGTATATATGTTGAGTGTATGTATATGCACCACATGTGTGCAGATACCAGCAAAGGCCAGAAGAGGGTGTTGCATCTCCTGGAACTCAAGTTACAGTTGTTTGTGAGCTGCCCAACGTGGGGGCTGGGAATTATACCCAGGTCCTCTGCAAGAGCAGCAAATGTTCCTAATCCCTAAACCAGCCCCCAAAGACAGTGTTTTTATTTGATCTGTGTTCTAGTTTGTTCTTCATTGCTGTGACAAAACACTCTGACCAATACCAGCTTGGGGAGGAAAGGGTTTATTTGTCTTGCGTCTCCCAGGTCGCAGTTCATCAAGGAGCCCAAGGTAGGAACTCAAGGCAGGAGCTGGAGCACAGGCCATGGAGGAATGCTGCTTACTGGCTTGCTCCCTTGGCCCCTGCTCACCCTGCTTTCTTATGCAACACAGGCCCACCTGCCCAGGGGTGGCACCACCCACAGTGGGCTGGGTCCTCCCACATCACTCATCAAGAAGATGCCCCTCAGACATGGCCACAGGCCAGTCCAATAGAGGCAATTCCCCAACTGAGGCATCCTCAACCTAGGTGTGTCAAGTTGACACTAAAGTTATCCAGCATAATCTGTAACACTAAATTCTAACTTCTACCCACACTAGGAATTCTGACTAGTCAGCCTAGAATTTAAGTAAGCTGACCTACAATTTAAATTAAAATGTAAAGAGAAAAAGGTATCATTTTGCTATTTCTACCTACTGTTCATGTGGGAATGCAGCTTTTTGGTGTCCAGTAGGGTACATCCTGACAGAGATTAGTATTAATGGCTTTAATTCATAGCAGTTTGGGAGGCAGCCATCCTCAAGTTCAAGAGTAGGAAAAATTGTCTGTACTCAGCTCTGCAAACTCTACGGGTGCCACAGGGACCAGAAGTAATAGTAGAAATGGATCTGCCTCTACATCAGACACTGGTGTTTAATCACTGTCCCGAAGATGCAGGGAAAATGGAGGAAGCCAAAGCCAGCTTGCATCAATGCATCCTCCAAGGTGGAACTTTTATTAAAGCCATGGATCTCAGTCAAGGTGAGCCACCTGCGGGATGCTTCCACATGGTCACTCAGTGTGAATGCTGCCTTGTCTCCACACTGCAGCTGGAGGTGAACCAGGGATCTAAGAAAAAAACAAACAGGCAAAACACTCAGTCCAAGATTGATAAGGAGAGGAGCACCAGCCAGAAACAGGACCCTGAGAAGCTGCTAGGCCAATATCAAAGCAAAATTTAGTGACTCTGTACTGTCAGATAAAGCTGCATGTAAGATTATCTATGTGTATGTATGCATGCATATGATATGTAATATATGTGTGTGTGTGTGTGTATTGGCCTTGTATGAAAAGTAGATGATGTAATTTCCCATTTATTTTCTTGTACTGTTGCTTGGAACAGTATTCCTGCAGAGGAAGATAATATTCTAACAGTAAAAATCTATTCAAACATACATGGATGTAATCTATCACAACCGCAATTTAAAAAATAATAATCAGGGCTGAAGAGATGGCTTAGTGGTTAAGAGCACTGGCTGCTCTTGCAGAGGACCCAGGTTGGAATTCTATCACCCATATGATGGCTAACAACCATCTGTAACTCCAGATCCAAGGGAATCCAAAGCCCTCTTCTGACCTCCATGGGCATTGCATGACACAGGTGCACATACATACATGTAGGAAATATACTCATACACATAAAATAAAAATAATAAATAAAATATTTTTTAAAAATATAATAATTGTGACATGTACTTGAAGAAAACAAAAAGTATCAAAGTTCTGCAGTTTCAATATTTAATTCAAATAATGTCAAATCTGTGTAAGAACAAGAAAAGAATGCTAGACCCTCTGTGACACAAGAGGTAATTGTCCAATGAGAACTTCTTTATCTCCTACTAATAAATCTTACATAGTAATGAACAGATCTGGTGCTGGAGATATGACTCAGTGGTTAAGAGCACTGACTGCTCTTGCAGAGGACCCAGGTTTGATTCCCAGCACCTACATGGCAGCTAACAACCTTCCACAACTTCAGTTCCAGGGGATATGAGGCCCTCTTCTGACCTCCAAGGGCATTGCCTGACAAGGATGCACTTATATACATGCTGGCAATGCACCCATACGCACAAAATAAAAACTAGCAAAATATTTTTTAAATGAACAAATTTGAGAGCTTGGGTTGGCGGAAAGAATTATTGTTAAAGAATTTTCTCTGTGTATCAGAGAAATTTTTCAGAATCATAGGATTCTGAAAAATCAAGTAATTACTGTGGTCGTATTAGATAACCCAGGTTGGAGAGGAAAGCAGAGCATATCAGAGGGCGCCCAGTGCTCTCAAGGCTCCCTTTATGCCTTCCCTTTTCATCCAGTGCTCATCAGACACCTCCTGCGCTGGGCCTTGCTGTGACCCTTCCCACTCTTCTGCAATACTGATTGCAAAGCTTCAGATCTCTGCTGCTCCAACCATCTGGCACCTGGGCTGACCATGCCAGCCTTCCTGATAGCAGGGAGAAGAACGGAGTCCAGGAAAGGAGGCAGAGATACTGATGGAGATGGATGGAGTGTACCTGGGTCACTCCCAGGCCAAGGGTCAGGGAACCTTAGTGGGGAGCTTCTCTCTTAGTTCTAACCTGTAAGACTTCTCAGAAGACAAAAGCTTTGAAAACATTCCGTTATAAGAAACAAGAGTAGCCAATTATATCAACTGTTAACTACTTACATGTTACCGCTCTACATCACAATAAGTTTATGGATTAATAACTAAATTTAGAATGCCTTTGCTATAGTCAGTTCCTGTAGGATGTCTGTTTAAAACCGCCTGAGTTTCAGCTACCCGAGGACATGTTGTCCTGCGGCATCTGACCTCCACAGTAATTTCCTTGGATTTAGCAGAAATTGTGATGGTGTAATATTCTAGAAAATTGCCTATTCAGAAGACAGAAGAATCCATGTTCCCTCATTTCTTGTTCTTGATCAACAAAAACAAAGAGCTATATTAGGAACCTGTGGTTCCAGCCTCTCTCTGCTGTTAACCAGCTGCTGTGTCTTGGATTGCTGCTTCATCCCTTCAGGCCTGACTGTCCTCATCTGGGAAAGAATTTCTAGATTAAATGTCCATGCGTCTGGCTTCATCTTATGGTAAATGAAAACCAACTTGCTGAGTTGAGTATTACAAGTTAGTAATAGTGTATGAGGGTTTGTGAAATAGTGTATGTTCTAGAACTTATGAACATTCTGGCTCATTTCTATAGTCAACATGCTAGTGTCAGTGGTATGAATGGCTTAGCTCAACAAAAGTCTATTTCCTCATTGCAGATAAATAGGATTTACAAGACCCTGGATGGAGCACTTGAGAAGCCTCTGAATGCCACAATCAACTGCCATCTCGAAGAAAACAAAATAAATGGTTCTGGAAAGTTCATGCTATTTCTTCATTGAATTTTAGGTGAGTGTGTTTAAGAGAATGATTTTAAGATAAACATTAATCTGTTTCTTCAAAACACACTTTTCTTCTTTGCATAGAAAGAAATGGTGTTAGGTCATCTCAGTGTCTTTGTGTTGTAATTTTAGGAGGGTCCAGACAGCGAAAGACTCCATCACTTTCCCTTCATCATTTTCTACTTCTATTGCCAGAGACTGTCTGAACTGAAGTATGTGACAGACAGTTTCTACTGGGAAAGTACCACAATACTACATTATATTCTAAAGGTTACTTGATGTTTTAAAATACAGAGAATATGTTTAATATCAGAGTAATAAACCAGCATGAGATAACAGATTACAGCACTGTAACGGCATTAACGGAAGGGGAGTTTGATGGTATTAGTGACTGCTTACCATTAGTGGTCAGTGTGTAAATATAACATTGCAGAAGCTGCTTGCAGGGGGATTTTGGAGGGCACAGTTAAGGTCAGACACAGTAACTCTCACAGTAGCTGTATTCTTTTAAGTGCATACACATCAGCTTTGTTCTGTCTGCCTATAATATGGATATACAAATAAGTTTTAAATTATCATAAGTGATTTCCTTCTTTCTACAAAAGACAACTATAGAAAATTCATTCTATATTTTTCTGAAATACGCTCTTGTTATTTTTCAGCAGAACAGAAGGAATTGAGAAATTGAGTGGAGGTCATAATGAGAATTTCTGCTTCCTCCTAAGACCAGCTTTCAAAATGTGATTTGTTTTATTATCGACTGTAAATAATGGTCACTTCCAGAACTTCAAAATACACTCACGCTCAGTTCTAAATTAAACAATGCCACAGACAAAGCATCAGTCACCATCTAAATCTAATCCACAGGCAACCATGCTTCCAGTCTACTTTGAAAAAGATAAAAGTGAATTGTTCAATTGTCTTAAAGCGGTCAAAATACAATATAAAATAAAGTGACTTTGTGACAATATTTAAAACCAACTTTGATTAAAACTCAGGTTTTAGATTCACCATCAACTTTAAATGAATGAGATAAAAGATTAAAATGCCTGTGGTAAGATGACCACTTTCAGATACCAGGAGACACTTTATTCTTTCGATTGACTTCAAAATGAAGACAGGTGATTGTCTCATAATCTTAAGGGTATATAAATTTTCTTTACTGAGATTGAATTTTGAACTAAAGTGATTTCCTTTACTTTCAAGAGATTCCCAAGAATCTCCTGCAATTCCCAAGAGCTAAACATAGTACATTTCAGACATCTCGGTAAATTGACTTGTAGCCGTTATTCAAGAGAAGAAACTAAGCATGTGTTTTCTGAGCTCCTCACTCTGCAGTCCTGCGCATCTGTGCCTGTCTTTACCTTCAGGCCGCTCCTGGTTTTGCTCTTTTGACTGTGGGGACTAACCCCTGTTGGGCTACTTCAGCCCCAGATCTTGTCTCTAGCTTCACTAAGTAACTCCTCCCTGAAGTCCAGTGGCCCCACATCCTCCCTTCATCCTCCAGGACTGCTGCCTCCAGCTTCTTTCGTAGTTAATCTTTAGGTCGCTTCACCACCTCAGCCTAGTTTCCCAGTCCTTCCATCTTTTCTGTAACCATTCCCCCAGATGAAATTCCATTTAAAATACTTGGTACATTTTCTTTTCTTAGATGTGTTCTAACTAATCTATCCATGTTTATTAATTTCTTAAAAGTTATTGGAAGAGAACAGAGATAACCTGCTTCTCCCCCTAAGAAAACAAATGAATCCTAGAAAATTAAATTTGAAGTTAAAATTGGGTGCTATTTGTGACTTACAAAATGTGTTATATTAAGACATTGAGATATAATACAGACACAAATAAGTATAGGTAGTATATACCTCTATGAATATTCATAAGGTGTTTATTACTAATCAAATCAAGAAATAGAACACTACCAATACCCCCAGGAAAGCTACCCATGCCTCCTTCCCATTTATCCTTTCAGCAGAAACAAGAGCACTAGTTTGCATCACCTTTGGCTAGCTTGAATATTTCAGAACTTAATCTGATAGAATTACAGTGTGTCTTGTGGTTATGAATGATTCAGTTTTTTTAAAGTGATAAACATTACTTTGAGAGCAATATATGGTTTTCAGAAAGAGGAGAAAAGGACAAGCTTTTCCTACATCCTACCTGTACCCGCCATGTGCTCAGCCCCCCAACAGTCCACACCCCCTTCAGAGTCGGGGGGAGGTATTATCATCAGTGGCTCTCCATTGGTCCACTGTTGCAGTGTATCCTATGTACAGAGTGTACACGCTATGGTCTTGACAGATGTACACTGAACTCCGTCCACCATCGCTGTATCACGTTTCACTGCCCTAAAAGATCCTCCCTTGGCATTAGACCCTGAAAACCTGCAGCACACCCAGGGCTTTACCAAGTTTAGATAATCCTGTAGTTGGAACCATGAGGTGTGTGGTCTCAGACTGGGTGTGCATTGAAGTTCCCTCTCTGTCTTTTCATGACTTGAATGCTCATTTCAGTTTCAATTCATTGCTTGGATGGATTATATTTTATGTATCTATTCAGCTACTGCTGAACATTTAGATGACTTCTAACTTCTGACAATTATAAATAAAGCTAATATAAACGTCGGTGTGTGGGGTGTGTGTGCACACGCCTTTTCATGTGGGAAGATAGAGACAAGATGGCTGGATTGTGTAAACTTATGTTTAACTTAGTAAGAAACTGCCATTTTATATGTCTACCAGCAATAAATAGGCATCCTGCCACTTCACTCACGCAGTTATTAACTGTCAGTATTTTGGATTTTGGTCATTCTAATGGGTGTGAGCTGTGGATTTAATTAGCAAATCTCTAGTGGCACAGAAGGCTGAGCGGCATCTTCTCCGGGCCTCCCTGCCACCTGCAGAGAGTCTTCCAGTGAGCTGTCCATTTGGCTATCTGGCCACTTTTGAATTGGGTTGTTTATATTCTTATTATCGAGTCTTAAGAATTCTTTGTACATTTTATATCTTTTGTGGACACTTTCTATAATCTATGATTTATCTTCTATTAAAGATTGGGGATTTGGACTAGTGAAAACAAATTAGCAATCTACTTAATAGCATCTGCTAAACTATGCAGTATTGTAGCATTGCTTCGTTGCTTTTAACAAAATTGTTCTCACCTTTCCCATTTTGTATGACAAAGTAATGGGAAGAGTGTTTTAAATCCTTAAGTACACGCTACTATTATTTTCATTTCTTTAATATTCAAATGTCATAAACATCAATATAGCCAATACGAACGTCTGCCTAGAGCACAGCTTTCTCTGGAATTTATAGTTGGTGCTTACTGAGGTATAGAACTTTTTGACTACAGTTAGGACCCGACTGCTTCTTTTTAATAATGGTTGTTTGCTGTTTAAAGATGCCTCCTGATCTGAACAGTTCACATTTGCTATCATTAATAGTGAATATACTGGAAATCAAGTGGTCAGGACGCCAGTGTCTGCCTTACTTATCAGGTAAACAATTTGTCTGGTCTTGACCATCCTGTTCACCCTAACAAGACCTTCCTGGCATTAAGGTAGCTGCTCACTTGATCTTTCTATACTTCGCTTCATTATATTAAAAGTAAGGGCCCCACAATTTTCATTTTCTTTTCATTTATTTATGTAGACGTTCTTCTTTTCAGTCTTTTCTTAGAGGTTATCACAATTACTCATCTCTCCATTTTAATGTACTGTGGTTATATACTCAAAAGGACATGCTGTCCTTCCTAACAGTCATTTTCATCTATTCAACCAATGTTAAATGTTGAATCTGAACTAATTTAGAATCCTTTCAGACAATGTCATGATGGACAGACCTGAAGTGCTTGAACCCTTTCTTATTCCTGGCGCTAGAGGGACAGAGAGCTTTATGGTGTGTTTTAAAAGGCAGTGAATATTGATGTTCTCCAAACAAATCTTCCTTTTAGTTTGATACATTGCTGAACATTCTAACTGCAAGCATTTATCTTTAGCTTCTGGAAATGAGACTTCATACAGTTATTTTTTTAATCCCATGGGGAAAGAAAACATGTCCATTAATAAAATAGGATACACAATGCATTATTTAATGCATTAGCAAACAAGACACATGAGGCAATGGTGCAGACATGCAGCTTTGGAACAACTGATGGCCATACGTGTGAGATGGCTGCAAAAATAGTATCACTAATGTCATGATGTTGCCTGGAGTCACGGGAAATACCTGTCATCAACAATCACTCAGGTTGACAAGGTTGTAGTGAACTAACTGGAAGGAGGAATTGGAAGAAAAACGTTTGGTGTTCTTCTATCTGTTAATTATCCCTTTGCTTCCCCCAAGAATTTGCAACATGCTGTTTACTTTCATGTAATTTTGATTTTAGAAACTATTGTTACAGGAATGAATTGAGCAATATTTTGAGTCAAAATCTAAGGATGATAATTATAAATGTTAATGATAATGCAGTTAATGTTTGTGTATGCACATTACTGCCAGATTGGTTTCTGAGCTTGATTTTAGTCATCAGTGGATGTTTGTGACTTCAAAACGTGAATTTTAAATCCGTATTGTTTATTTTATTTATCTAGAAGTGTCTCTGATAGATTCAAGTGCACAAGACACAACACACACACGCACACATGCATATATATATCAGCTCTTAGATCTGTCAATTTCTAACAATTCTGCAACTCAAGATGTCACATTTTACCATATGTCTGTTTGCATTCAAGTGACTTAGATGAAAGATTGCAGTGTTTCTCTTTCTCATCTCACTTTTATAAAAAAGTTGGATGATGGTCTTTTCTGTGAAAAAAATTTTATTGTTATCTCACATCCTTGTAACATATAAACAACTCCAGTTTCACACGGCTTTCCTTCTGAAGTTGAAATTCTTCAGGGAAAGAAAGAGTCTGTTTTGAGACAAAGCAACTGGTACATTCCAGATGAGGTGACATTCTTCCAGTTTTGCACAATAGACTTCTCCAGAGATCAGTTAACTAGG